TAGGGTTTGACCTTGTTTTTAAAATTGTGGTTTTTAGACATTGCTAATATAACCTTTTTTAAATATCTTTCTTTTTTACATATTTGAATATATATCTATATGTGGACATGAGGGCTCTGATATTTATCTTTGATTATTCCTACATTTAGGTGTTCTTACTTGTATTCCTGTAGGCTATCCCAGCCAAAATAGCCGTAGCAGTTTGTTTGTAGGCTACATCAGGACCCTGTTGATTACCTGGGGTCGATTGTGATAGGAGTCTGAAATATCTCTTTAGGATATCCACATCCAGCAAACTAGGTATGTAAATCAACCTGTCTTCACTCTGTGTTGGTCAACCATGTATGGATTATCTTTGAGATGGTGCACAAGTGTGCCATTATTTAATCTTAAACAACTTAACTGACACTTCATAGCTCAATGCGCCTTTTATATAGCTAATCTTAAAATAAAAACAAATGTGGGTGGGGGGGTTACTTAATTTGATCTTTAATGAACTTTTAAGTGGGTGGAAGGGGACCCAAATTTTGTTCCACCATTAAATGAGATAATGGAACAAGGAAATTGGTGTCTCCTCCAGAAAACTTGCTCCCCCCAGTTACTCACTCTGTTTCTCTCCCATCTCCTCCAGGTTGCTACGGTAACCTGGGCACGAGGACATCACCCCGAAAACGATGGGGTGTGTGTCTCCACGCCGACGGGGGGACCGGAGAGTGGTAGTGCCTTCTCCCCCTCAGGTGAAGTCAGTTTTCACAAAGGATTCCCCAAAGTGGTCGAAATGCATTTGAATGAGTCTAATTTGACAGGGTCTACTGAATATGTTTGGGGGAATTTTGATAACACAGTGCTCCAATGCAATCATAAACGTTCTTTTCCCAATGACCAGCGGTGATTGAACAATGGACCTGTGTGATGATCTGTTGCACCACAATACTTAAGCCAGGGGTTTCCATCCTTTTTGGCCCGTGACCTTTCAAAACAATCTTCTTGTGACCTCTCATAAGAGGTTAGGGTTTTGGTGTGGATATAAGTGTTTCTTAGGATGTTGAATTTCAATGATTTTTACTTTCCTGAAAAGGTACAAACATTCAGTATTAAATGTAGGGGGGAAAAGAGTTTTTAGAAAAGCTACGTTTTGTTAAATTCTTGTTCTCAAGTCACAGATTTATCCCATTGATATTACCCACAAGTACAGTGGCAATTTTAAATATGTACATTTTGAATTTGCCCTCAGAAGGTAAGGTAAGGAGCTGAGTGTAGCATCAAATTTTAAGAAATGACAAAAAATAAAGGTGGTGGCATGGGTTTATAGTTTTTGTTTTTTGTTTTTTTTTTAAACTCTTAATTCTCAGATTTATCTTGGGCCCCCAGGTTGGAAACCACTGACTGAACAACTGATTTTCCTGGAGAAGAATCTTGCATTTGAGCACTGTGTGTTTCAAAATACAATAAATGGTTATAATGTTGTCTTGTGTTTTTACGTCTACAATGTTTACAGGGTTCAATCCCATAAAGGGTTGTGTCAGATTTAAGTCACATTATATGGTTGTATGTTATTTTCATAGTAAAGTAAAACCAAAAGTTACACATGGCTGTATCCTAAGCGTGATAATCTTCATCCAAGGCATGTCTTAATGAAATGTGAATTGCTTCATTGGCATTCTGCATTTGGCTGAAAATCCAGTATAACAAAGCTTGGACGCCACATTTCTCCGCAGACTTGTTGCAAAACAAAGAACTATGACAGAAACTCAAATGCATATAAATCCCTACATTGACGTAAAGTTGAGAAACCATTATATTAAACACACCAAAGATGTCTGCTGGCTTACAGGATCTATGAATAAATAACCAAAATTTATTGCAGTGAAATGTCTGTGTTCACGCTTCTCTCCAGCTAGGCCACAAAATGAACTGGGACTGATCCTGTCAAATTCCCCTTATGTTGTGTGGAATCTCTCTTGGGGGATCCCATGTTTCCCTGTATTACACTGCCCTTGAGCCTTAAAGACAGCAGGTGTTGTTAAATATAATATGCCACTTGAGGACAACAGGAGGTGTTGCAGGATATCAGATGCTAGTAGTTAGATAAACAAGAGGTTGATGATAATGGCCAGAAATGACCACGAGTATTACAAACACAGTGTTCATACAGCCTCAATGTATGAACACCAGTTTGTTTGTAATACTTGTGCTTTAATGCACCCAAAATTGGCATTGAACAGAGAGGTGCACAGTTTTACCAGTTTAAGTTTCAGGCGCCAGTGGGAGGCCAGTGAGTGCTGTGTTTGAGGAAATATTCAAGTCTGCTGTGAGTTTGTCATTGTACATTTTTGGATCTTTAAGTCTGCTGACCAGAATCTAAAAGGAAATTCATTATTGTTGGCCAGGGCTGTGTGTTTGTCCTAATTGGATAGTGTTGGTTTCATTTCATTGTTAAATTTTAAAGGTTGCTGCTAATTAAGCAGCAAAGATGCATGAAGTGGTCTCTATCATGCTCTCACAGAAGAAGGCAGAAATGCTTTTTATCGGTTTTAAAAAAGTGATCTTATCAAGAAACTCTTGATGTTGAGGACATTTAACAACACATCAGACTTTATATATAGTACATTATAATGCCGGAAAGTGGCTATACTTATTGGCATTGTAATTTGTACTTCATGTCTTAGCTGTATTGGTATGAGTAAAACAAGCAATAAAACCTCAACACAAAATATAACTGAAAGTCAAACAGTAATCGCTCATAACCACAAAATTTAAGGAAAGCGCATTCCTGTTACTAAATCCTGTCTGATGTGCTGTGATGTTTCATGACACCTAGTGTGACATAAGTAGCAACAATGTGCGTGACAACAATACTGTGTTTGACTGATGCTTGACATGCCGATCGGAGTGTAAATTTTACTTTTGTCCCCTTTATAGGATTAATGATGCTTCTGATCATCCCGTAGGAAAAGGAAACATCTGTTATGTTGGCCGTGCTTTTTATGAATCCACAATAAATCTCTATATTTTTATATACCAAGAGACTTGTTATGTTACTTTTGTTTTTTTACATTGAGCATAGTTGCATGTCTCCCACTGGTGATACCCATCACAAAGGGGTGTCAAAAGGAGGTCACACGGATTATTTTCATTCTGTTGCACAGATATGGTTTGTGAGGCCAAAGATCCAAAGTTGGTGGGTGTATTTGTTTTTCATTCAACCAGGTTGGCATCGTACAAATTCCTGAGTACATCTTCGGGACTTTGGAATAGTGAATACTATAATGTATATCCAATTAAATGTTGGTGCTTGTTTATGCAAGAGCTGGTATAGATTGGTCTGTGGTAATGTCATAATTTTGTGCCTCTTTCGTGAAACCAAGTAGGCAAGACTGGTTTCTGTATCTCTGTATAGCATGAGGGTTGTGTTAATTTTAAAGGTACACTGTGGAGTCTTTCTGTAAACTAAAATTATGTTCTCTTCACTCACCTAAATACAATGTATTTACTTCCTGATAAAACATTTGCAAAGTAGATTTTTGAACTATTTTAAGCCCTGTATTGCTTACATCCATGTTTACTAGCTTGCACTCTCATTCCTCCTTGCCTTTGATGGCACATTGCTGCTCACCTTGGCACAGTGCCACCTGTAAGTCAGTGGAACAGTATTACATCATTGTCAGGAGTCTGTCATGTCAGCTTCATGCACATGCACGAGACAATCAAAATGGCGACACACAGCTAGTAAAACTGCTCCATAGCCTGCTAGAGGTCAGAAACTCCACAGGGCACCTGCAAGTATGTAGAATGTGAATTGGGAATCAGACTCAACATAGAAGTGTAGTACTAAATTATGAAAAACAAAACTTGACGACCTAGTTTAACAGTTGGATGGTTTCCCAAAACCGATGCTGCAGGTTTCATGGTGACAAGGCTGTGCCAAAAGTACTGCAAAAATTGGCAGTGGAAGCAATTACAGCAAGTACTGGCTCAAAACATGGGTGTGTTGCATCATGCTTTAATGTGCTGTAGATTGTTTTGAACTAAATTGGAGAAGCAACTTGAAAAATGGGGAGGGGAGACAAATTTCATTTATTGAGAGCAGCTAATTGAGAGCAGCTAACCTAAAATTGTTAAGGTATGTGCCAATTTTAAAAACTTTCTAAGAACCATTACCATATGACCAGTGTAATTTAAATGTAGATTAAATTGTTTAAAAAAGATTGCATTTCACAGTTTAAAGGCACAGTTCTTAAATGTCAAGCACAGCCATAGAGCAAATATTAAACATATGGTACTATGAAGAATTACAGTATTTTAAGAACGGGAAAATCATCTAAGTGGATCAGCTGGTGGCCATTACATTGAAAATTGTTGGGTAAGACAATTGGCATTTTAATAAAAAGTGTGATTCCTTATCAGCCCTCAGGTCCTCAGTCAGGTTATGCAACTTTGTAGGTGGCTCAACAGCTACATGTTGGAAGTACAGTTTGAACATTGGTGGTCTGCATCTAAAGGAAGTTAATTTAAAAGGGTACTCAAATAATGTTGTTATAGTCCTGTTCTAAAACTGTGTTAACATTATTTTTGTCATAATGTTGTAAAATGTTGATTTCTGTTAAAGAACATAAGGGCATGTCTGTCTGTTTTACGTTCATATAAAGGTAGGCATTATGCTGCATAGTTGTGTTCGCTGGTTGTACAGTACCAGTGATATAAGCTAAGGGAATTAATTGGGATATAGTTTTACTTTGTGGGGTCTTCATGATGTCATGTGATTTTAAGGAGTACATGTGCTAAAAAAAAAGATATCAATTACTTGCTTGTACCTTACAGTATTACATTTTTACAAAGTTGTATACAGTAAGAGATCCGATGCAACAGCAGTAAGAAAAAAAGGAATATAACCATCACAACGGTTGAAATCCACGCGTCTAACAAGGAACTTAAGATTTCCGACAGGACTAGAAGGCGGCAGAAACGTGAGTCGCTCGCCAGCCAATGTGGGTGGAGATTTTTTCAAGATGACCAATCAGCGACGGATACGTTTTACGATGGCGATTGAGTCAAACGGCCCGCCCTGACGTCGTCCATTGAAGAAGAAGAGGGACGGTCTCATCATACCATCCACAGAAGAAATTCAATCATGACGGCTAAACTTTGCAAGCTTTTTGTCGGAGGACTGAACGTTGAGACCACGGAAGATGGCCTCCGCAAGTATTTTGAGCAGTACGGGACGCTAAGTGACTGCGTTGTGGTCATGAACCAGCAACTCGGACGGTCCCGCTGTTTCGGCTTTATCACCTACTCGACACCGGAGGAGGCCGACGCAGCAATGGCGGCTAAGCCACATGTCGTCGAAGGCAACAACGTGGAGCTGAAAAGGGCCATAGCTCGAGAGGACGCGAACAACCCGGACATCCTCGCCAACGTCAAGAAAATATTCGTCGGCGGCGTGAAAGACCACATTGAGCCGGATAACCTGACCGAGTACTTCTCCCAGTTCGGCGTGGTGGAGAAGGCCGAGATCATCTCTGACAAGCAGACCGGCAGGAAGAGAGGCTTCGGCTTTGTCTTTTTTGAGGACACCGATTCTGCAACCAAAGCGGTGCTGACCAAATACCACACCATCAATGGAAACAAGGTGGAAGTGAAGAAAGCTCTGACCAAGCAGGAGATGTCCACCGGCGGCCGAGGAGGAAGGGGTCGAGGGAGAGGGATGCAAAACTATGGCGGCGGACGAGGGGGTGGCGGCTACGGAGGAGGCTACGGCGGCAATTACGGAGGCGGCTACGGCTATGGCGGGGGTTACAACGGTGGTGGAGGCTACGGGGGTTATGGGGGCTACGAAGAATACGACAACCAGATGGGGGGTGGGTACAGTAATGGTGACTTTGGGGACGGCTATGGACAGCAGCACTCAAATTATGGTGCAGTGAAGGGGGGCAGCTATTCCTACAGGAGCGGGGCTCCTTACAACAGAGGCGGCGGCGGCGGTGGTGGCTACGGCAGGGGGGGTGGATTTGGCGGTGGCTATTAGTGGCTTCCTCCAGTTTTGAGATGTTCATGGGGAAAATTCTGATTACAACGAACTTGAATTTACACACACACGCACACACACACGCGCACACACACATCATATAAGCCCAGGTGGGGGTGAGGGGTCTTTGTTTTGTTCATTCAAATGAAGCAGTGCCCATCACCCACACGGAATGAATGAGACTGTCCTCTGGATCCTGGCTCTCCCCCACCCGGACCCCATCTGTCCTCTTATTCCACACATTATGGACTTTACTACTAAGAATTGTGAATTATTGAATCGTACTTTTGTTATGTTTGGGGGAAAGACTTGTTTTGAACCATTTGTAAAGCCGTAATCAATGTCAGTCACTGCTCACTCAGAAATGAGTTTGTTTGTCTTGCAAACCAGCCAGATGTGTCTGTTATTTTTGCATCATGAACTCAGGGTTTTAAGTGAAGTTGGTGGCAGTGTCGGGCAGCATGGGACTCGATTGCTTGAGTTTCTTGATCTTAAACACTTCCGTGACAAAGTATTTTTTTGGAGAAATGTCACGGACTGTTTTGTTAACTGTAAATTACTTTTTTTCCACTTCTCCCGTCCCATTACAGGCGTTTGTTTAGATTAAAACTGTTTGAAATCCATGTGTTCAGTTCGCCCCTATGTTGTATTCTGCTTTTATTAAAGTTTTTAATGTTTTGAAAATCTATCTTATCTCGCAGTCTTAATTCAAATCGTGTGGGTTACATTTCAGAGGGGAGTGCATAAATATCAGCACTGTGGAAGCTGCAGTGTGATGATTTTCATCAATGTTAATTGGTAATCTGCCTCATGTCTTTTGTAATCTTGTGAATTGAGTTCATAAAGCCACCACCAGGAGGGAGTATTGCCTGTAAATTACCACATTTCCAGTTCATCGGCCATTTTATACCGGCAAAGCTAATACTTTGGAGGCAGAGGTTTAACCCACTGATTTGGTACATCATCAAAAACGGTGCTTTTTTTTTTTTAAACTGTTTTGGTCCTGTAATTGAAATTTTTGGAGAATAATTTAAATATACAATGAGCAAATACTCAACTTTTGCAATCTTATTAAATTCACTATTTCCCACGTGAATTCACGGTGAAATGATTTTAATTATGATTTTGATGCTTTTGTTTTGTTTGCTAAATTTTGAAAGGTGCATGCCCATAATATAAAATTAATATGAACATTCTCTTTGTTGGGGGAAAGTGTCCCTATTCTGCAAGTATTAGTATTTTAAACTGTTCAGTTTGACTTGTAATCTGGTTTCACTGGGGAAAAAATGCAATTTGACAATAGTTTTTCTAGAAAATCAGGTTTGGTTTACCTCCCTAAACCCACACACATGCAGCCAATTTGTTGTAAATGACATCACAGGATCCAGTGTTTAGTATCTGTTTTAAGAAAGCTTAACCCACTTGAACACTGGCTTAACTCCTTTAGAGTCACCACGTGTGTCATCTTTCTTCTAATATTATCTGAATTTGGTGTTGTTGGGATGTCTACTTGCAGACCATTAATGAAATTATGCTCTGAGAATTTGTAAGCAATACACCATCTTTTAGAGACTGATGTTAAGAGTAAATGTACATGCCTGATTGCTTCTGTGTTGTGAACTGTGGCAAGCAGGGACAACCAACAGAGACGAAGAAAAAAGAAAAATTTGTGAGCTCCCACTCTGACCCTATTTCCAGGTATGAAAACCTGAAGAGCCAAGGCTCTTCTGCAAGCAAATGTTTACATAACTCAGCCTATATATATTGATAAGTTGTTGGTGTGATGGCTTCATTTTAAATCACACCAAAGCTAAGCCAATTTCCTCAATTATCCATGATGACATCCACAAAAATAGCCGAGAGTACACATGAAGTACATGTATATATATGAAGTAACCAAAGAAAATACATATAGTAATACAGGCTGGTAAGAGATTAAAGGAAAAACCTGGAAATAGGGCATCAATAGGGCACAAGGGTTCAGTGAATGGTTTGATGAAAGTGATTTAAAATTTGAATCATATGCTGTGGCCTTCGCATTCAACAGATCTCAACTGAGTTCAACACCTATGGGAGATTTTGGACCAATGTGTCAGACAGCGCTCTCCACTACTATCATCAAAATACCAAATGAGGGAATATCTTTTGTAATATCTCTCGTCTTTCTGGTGGTCCAACACCTTACTAAGACACCAAGTTAGTCTTTCCTTTAAACACAAGTAAGCAAGCAAATATATGAAAACATAACGGAAGGAGACAGTTAACCACACACATTTATACTAAAACAATAATTTTCTCTAGTAGCTTTGACCAGAAAATAATATTTTGTGTTTTGGTGTAATATAATCAAGCTTAAGCTTAAGCATAAAGAAATAGCAGACACTGTGAGTGAGGGATTCACTTTCCCAGTAATGTTAGACATAATACTTGAGACATTTTGCCAAAATCTAGCAACCATACGAACCCATATGAACAAAAAATGACTCTGTGGACAGTAATTAGATCCGTCCCAGAACTGAGAGGTGTGGATGGGTCATAATGTGGCAGCAGATCAGAAACCATTCAGTGCTTTATAAACAAACAGTGGTATTTTAAAATAAATTGTTTGGCATGTGGGAATGCAGCACAAAGATCTGAGAACTGTACTGATGTGATCCACTTCTGGCCAATGAAGACAGTGATATATGTGATATGTGTGAACATGATCTGGGCCCTCTATTTCTAAATAAGACATGACATCATTGAACAAACCCATGACTCCTCTCCATATAGTAAAGATGTTCTTATGCAATTTAATATTGTACATGGTGTTCATTAAAAACTAAAAAAAGAAAGCTAAATTGTATCAAATTTATTGACATTTAGCCCCCCCTTGTGACAGATGTTAATTGTTGACAGCTACTTTGATTCATTTGGTTGTGCTGTGATCTGCATAACGACTGCAGTTCAGTCTTCAGATCACAACATATGAACCACATCCTTTATAGACAACGATTAATCTGGAAAATAATAAATAGATTAATAGACAATGAAAAAACACTATTTCATTCAAAACTAGAAGAAATCACATTTATGATAAGAGAAAAAATATGAGAAAATAGGCTATATCGCCTATTCTATGGCCACCAGGATAAAAAAAAAAAATTTGAGTGATTAATAGTAAGGCTGGATTACTAAATGGGCAAAGTGGGTAACTGCCCAATGGACTCAAAAGCCCCATTTACTACTTTATTACAATATCAACTCTGAGGGGTCCTACACCCCAGATAGTGGCATTTACTCTCATAGTAAAGTGGGAAAAATGGCAAATATTCACTTTTGAGAAGCTGATATCAAGGAATATTTGGCATTTTTGCATAAAAAAGGACAATTAATCAGTGAATTATTTGTCAGTTACCTAATTGACTGATTAACTAATCATTTCAGCTGCAGGGTACTGGTTAGTTTCAGGGTGCTTGAGGTTATAATGAAATTGCAATGTATAATGGAGGTCAATAGGGGCCCCCAAAGGAGGTCGTGCTCCTTATGTGCAGGAATTTAAGATCTTGCCATTGAGCTGTATCAACATATTATATCAATGTGTATATGATTAACTTATTACTTTTGTCATTGTAATTTCTGTGGTTTGTTATTTTACATTTTAAACGTACTGTTGCAGCCTGTTGCAAAGGGAGGGTGGGTTGTGCTTCTGTGGCTGTTAATATATAACTTCAATAAAAATAGATGAAGACACAAACCTTGACAGATCAATTTAATCTGATATATAACACATGTGATACATAATGTGATAAAAATATAAATAAATCCCATTTAATAAAGTTTTTTTCATCTGGTCAGTGATACCATCGTGATAAACTGCGTATGTCTGTTCCTTTTGTGAACCACGGAGTGATACCTCTCGGTTATACGGGATCTGCGTGCAGCGCTCATGCCTGCTGTGCTCTCTGGCTCCGGGAGGATGGACGGTGTGTCTTTAGGGTGAGTTGGTTTAGCGGTGGGGATTATTTTGTAAATCTGTGATTCACGCTGCATGTACATCTGTTGGGTAACATTTTAGGCCACATGATCTACTGACCATAAATCCAACACGGTCAGTCAAAAGAGCACTTTCCCAGCAAACGAACTCAAGCTAGCCTTGTTGACTAGTTAGCTTCGGTAAGTTAGCTAGCATCGTTTGCTGCTCCAAACCAAACTCTAAGCAAACATTTGGGAACTGCCATCAAGTTGTTACTTACAGACAGTGAACTGAATGTGCACTGGCTTCTAAAATTGGTTATAACCACGATATGACCAATTATTTACGGCAGCTAACGGCAGCTGTCATAAGCTTATGATAGTTAAATGATTAGCAATGCTAAGAGCTAGCCAAGCTGACAACTTGACGCACAACAAACTCAAAACAAACACAATTTTCTACCAAACTTCTTTTGATTTTTATACACAAACCCACAACCTATCGGCAGTGTGTTCAGTATTCTTTAGTTTACCGACTCGTGCTGTTGTGTCCTAACTTATCATAATATTCCCATGGCTTGTATGTGCTGCATCATTATTTGTCCAAACTGTTTTTGCGGACACAGGATGGGTCATAATAAGAGTCCAGATAACATGCAGTTGAGTAGATCCACGGTGTCATTTTCAAACAAACACTATGAAACATTAACCAAGAAAATGTTCTGTCAGATGAGCTCTGGGTGATTGTCATGTTTTCTATTTTCCTTTCCCTCCTGCCACCTGCTTTCAGCTCAGTGCAGACCACCTTCGGTTAAAAGTTTTAAATCAATTTACATATGGTTAAGAATATTCTTCGGGGTTAGGATTCTTCAGCGGGTTTTGTTCTTTGTGGTCAGGCTGCTTTATGAAATATTAGGTAACAGGTAATAGTTTTGTTTTTTCCTCTTCTTTGTGTATTTGTCTGAGGAGTGCGTAAAACATAAGGCTGGCCATATACAATTTTTATTTTGTCAACAAATCTCCAAAAAGAAGAGACCATGTAACCACAGGATTGAAATGTCTTCAAAGGATGCATACACTATGCAGACACTACAGCAGCATCTGAGTACTATGACAACCAAAGTAGATTACCATGAAGAATTGAGGATTATTAAAGGAGGATGGGTCAGTGGTGTCATACAAGTTTTCAAAAATAGCTAACACTTGCAGACAGTGTAACAAGCCAACAGACAGCTCCTGGCATACATTTACTAAACAGCCTTTTCTGTGGTGTAGCACAACATTGATTGACAACAGTAACAAAATTAGTATATTTCTAGAACTCATCTTACCACTATTGATTTTGGAGGCTTCACTAATTCCAGTTTTTTAGTCCCTGTCCCATCCTCTTTATATAACCCTTGAGATGAACCATGAAGTACTTTGCCTAACTGTTGGGTCACCATCTATCTCCAATGATCCAGACACTGCCTCTCATGTCTTACCAGTCTGGTGGCCACACCGGCCTTACCGCGTCCGAACTGCACCACGGACTCGGAGGAGGACACGGTGAATGGAGGGATGCACACCTTCAACCAAACGCATATGAGGAAAGCTTTCCAGTTGATGAACGACCTGAGGAGGTGTGTTGCTGACAGTGGCGCTTGTCCCTACAAAAAAACCCAAAAACAAAGCCAGTATACAGTTGGCCATTTCACTGTGTCCAGACGTTTTCAGTATGCGAGTGAAGAGGCTGTACTCTGCCAGAAAAGTCAGAAATAATGTATTAATGGAGGAGTCATCTTTGGTCCACCTGGTTTGTCTGAAAATGTCAGTGTGGGAGTGAATTACTTCTGCCTGAGGAGGAACTGCTTCATTTTTAAACAGAAAAGTCCAGCTGGTGGCTACCTATCTTGTATTTGTAGTTGCTGGCCTCAATTTGATACAAACCTTTCAGCTACCTGGAACAGATGTTCCAGTGATAAGTGTCAGGTTTCAGTGTCTGTCCTTCAGAATAGAAAGTAAGTGCTTCTTCTAGACCACTTTGTACCACTACCCCAGTGTTTTACAAGCAAAAGTCCATTTCAGAAGAGATCAAAGAGATCCCACTTTGTCTGCTGGCAGGGGCCTGAACAGACCACAATGCAAAGCTGCCACTAAACAAGAGGCTGCATTTTGAGTCTGGCTTTTTCTTTACTGGAAAAAATGCTGTTTACCTGGTTTTACTATGCTATTGCTCTCTCTTAAAATGCTTAAAAACAACACATGCCATGTACTGAAGCTCATATGTTGTTGTTGATAGCAGATTATAATAGTATATTAGATGTTGTAGATAGATTTGTTAAGGTAAATAATGGTAAATACAAGACCAGACATAAAATAAAAATGCTGTCAAGGATAAAAACACAATTAAGTAGACCTTAAATGATTACAAGATTAGTCAATTGTTAGTTTTAGCCACTTGAAAAGCAAAAGTAGTAACTTAGTAAACTGAATCGGTTTGGGTTTTAAACTGTTGGTCATACAAAACAAGACATTTGAAGATATCACCTTGGACCATGGGAAACTAGGATGGCCAAATTTTCTGACATTTTATATATTAATTGAAAAAATAATCAATGGCATGGATAATGAAAATAATAATTAGTTGCTGTCGAACAATAAAACTAAAACCTTACTTCCATTCTGGTTGTTAGAAAGGAAAAAGGGTAAGATGATACAACTTTTGGTCAGCTTAAAATTAGTATGCCACTCTTGCCTGATAGTGATACTGAATGAAACTCCCAAATGGAACAAATCATTGTATTCTATAGGAGTTACAACCCTGGTAATTAACACCTTAATTGGCACATTTGCTGGCAGCTGTCCAGCCCATACTTGTCTTAAAGGATGCACCCTTTTCCTGGCTCCTGTATGCATATTTATTTTTACACAACTTTATCACATACACTTGGAATGAAAATAACAAACGTGCATTTTTTCTCTCTCTGTCACTTCACCCTTCAGCAAAAAGTTGCTGTGTGATGTCCAGCTGATCGCAGGGAGCGTTGAAGTGCCAGCTCACAGGGTGGTCCTGGCGTCCTGTAGCCCCTACTTCTGTGCCATGTTCACAGGTAGACATACACTGCTGTTTGCTTGGCATCATATCTGGTGTGGGTGTGTGCTAATGTGTGCTTATCTGTGTGTTTCTCTGTGTGCAGGTGATATGAGTGAGAGCAAGGCCCATCAGGTGGAGATCAGAGAGGTGGACGGGCAAACCCTGAGAAAATTGGTCGATTACATTTACACTGCTGAGATTGAGGTCACAGAGGACAATGTACAGGTAAGAGAGTGCGTGTGTGTTAGTGTTTATGAAGAGGGAGAGCGGGGAGGAAGGGTGTGAGAGTGGGTAAAAAAATGTTTTCCTGTTTTTACTTGAAGTCTTTACTTTTTTCTTCTGTAATGGTAGCTTTTACTGTTTTTAACTCCAATTTCATTTAAAAACATAGTGATATGAGGAATTAACAGGATACTAGCAATTCTCTTTGTGCGTTATGTCCATATAGCCCTTCCAGCTTGTCCTCTCCTCCCTTCTCCCTGTTGAAGGATTCAGTTTTGAACAAGTAACATGTCGCTGCTGCCTGAGGAACAGTATTTCAAAACACTAGCTCAGTTCATCTTTGTCACATTTTCTCGCTGTTTTACAGTGCGGATGATGATAACTCGAAGTAGCACTGTTGCTCTTAGCAAAAAGATCTGGGCTCACAGTATTAGTCACACAGTTACAGAACTTCCTTGTTGTTGAGAAGGAAACATCTTTTGTTTTTCCTCACCAGTTTGAGCACAACTCAGAAAAATAACTTAACTAGTTGGATCTGAAAATAATGGCAAACAAGCCTACAGAAATTGTTGAGGGGAAACAACAGTTTCAGGCAAGATTCTTGATAAGCTGTTTGCAGTAGTTACAGTGTTTATTGCAAACTTTTTAACCCTCTTTTTCTACACTATTAATGCAAAATACGCATGATGTGTAATGAACTTTTAAAAGTGACATAGCTGGTTGGTAAAGTGCTGTTTTTATTCTTTTGAATGATTTTATAGATGTCACTGTTTTTGTCTGTCACAAGGGATGTCACTGTTTTTGCCTGTCACAAGGGAAGTCGTCCCTTAAGGCCTGATCCCTTTAATTATCTGGTTTTTCAGTTGAAGTTTCAGAATGGCCACAATGAACCTGCCTGAGGAGTAGACATTTACCACAAAGGATGTAAGAGCTGGTAATGATTGTGAGCTGTACTTTGCTGTGAAAGCACAGGACTGAGACCTTGTTTATCTCTGTGGCATTAACTCCTGGTGTCTGCATGGCTCTGTTGCGGGGTTGAATAAATGCACCAGGATCAAGCTGCAGGCTGGATATTTCCTCTGATTATTAGTACAGGAAGTGTGCATGGAGAGAAGCAGGAAATCCTCCCACTGTTAGCAGCGTGCTTGCCTGATTGGCTCACTTGTAAATGTGTGACGCGTGTGTTTTGACTAGGGGCTAATATTCAGTAAAAGGTTGCATTACTTTTCATTTCTTCACATACAGTCAGCAAGCACTTTATTAGGTACACCTGCACAGCTGCTTATTCATGCACTTATATACAGAAACCCAAAGTCACTGAACTGAGGCTGTTTTTAGAGCAAAGAGAGGCCCTACCCAGTATTAGTATGTGCTACCCTCAGGCCTGTCTGTGTGTGTCACAGCTGCTGTAAGCACAGCTCAAGCGGGCCTGATGCTCCCTTTTAGAAAACATAAGCCTTCAGGGCAGCTGGAAAACTGAGGAGACAGTAACAGTGCACACTCAGAGGATGAGTGAGTGTGCAGACAGACACTGTCTCACTGACCTAGTTAAGCTAATGTGTAGGGACGTATCAAAGGGTAGCTTTGTCTTTTAGCATCACTGTTTGAACAGTACATTGCCTGCCTGTTTTGCTAACTGATTGGCTAACAGACCTAAGACGACTGCAGGCCTGAGCAATAGAGACAGAATAAAATGTTACAATCCCTCTGACAAGTACCTGTATGGATACATGTTTATATAATGTGGCAGTGTTGATGAATGACTATTGCAACATTTAAGTCAAAGAAGATACAAATTTAGTGCGTATCATAATGTTACAATCATCAGTTTTACACAGTATCTAGGTTCATTTGTAGGTGTCAAACTACATTAAATTTGATGTGTTTTCAAGGGCTGATGTACTGCTGTCTAATATGGCAGTGCGAATACATACATTACTTTACTCACTGTCACTGTACTGTAATATATGACAAAAAAACATTGATTATCAAAATTATCAAAAAATGTTAATTTTCTGTCTATTAACTAATTGTTTAAAATTGACTAATTGTTTCTGGCCTGCTGACTAATTGACAGAGGCTTATGTTTGGCTTGTTGATCAGCTTTATGGACTGATTGCTAGATAACTGCGTTATAGATTGTTGAGTAGCTTGTTGATTAATGCACAAATTGATTGACTGACCAGTAAGATTGTTGAAGTAATGAGTTAATTGGAGGGAGAGCGGTTGTTCTGATAAATGGCTAACTCACCTTTCTTTGGCTGTGGGTGGTATTTAACTGTGCTCTACCATTTCATTTTGTTAACACTTTGGGCATAAGTTCTTCTTTAAATTGACTTTTTGTGTCCTCTTTGCAGGTTCTGCTGCCAGCAGCGAGTCTCCTGCAGCTGATGGATGTCCGTCAGGTTTGTTGCGAGTTCCTGCAGTCTCAGCTTCACCCCACCAACTGTCTGGGCATCAGAGCCTTTGCTGACCTGCACACATGCACACAGCTTCTCAACCAGGCCCACGCATACGCTGGTAAGTTTCCCGCTGTTCACAACACGAATCCTGAGTCATCTTTGCCACTGTGTGGTGTGGTAGGTGGTGGGGCTTTAATGTAACGGTTGAAATATGCTGAAATGTTTGGAAAACTGCACGATGTCCAGAGAGTGTGAAAATGTCATGTTGAAAGTGACAGTGTCAAATGGTGAAAAGGATACCAGAGACACCCTCTCAGGTTATTAGGTGAAATAATTAGTTGTGTTGTGTGTAACCCTGCATGTTTGTGTCTCTCAGAGCAGCATTTCACAGAGGTGGTGCAGGGTGAGGAATTTCTAGGCCTTACTCTGCAGCAAGTGTGCGGCCTCATCTCCAGCGACAAACTCACAGTCTCCACGGAGGAGAAGGTCAGACAGCACAACGCAGACACACACTTCAACTTTTTATCAAAGTGTAGCCTGTTTCCTTGAACGTGAAAAGATATGTGAGAATTATATTCATAAGGGATTTTCCAGGAACACAAAATAAATAAATATAATAATAATAACAAATGACTTTTCAGAAATGTTAGGTATAATGGGAGCGAGGGCTCCTCCTATAAGTCGATGAGTCAATGCATCAGTTAAGAAGACGCCAGGTCGACTTGCATTTTGTGAGACAACTCACTGCACTTTTATTTAGCTGCCTCGCAGTACACAGGAGCAACAGTGTGGCAGGCTGTAAACTTTACAAACCGAGTCCAAACCACAAAAGTAACTATGATGGAAGTAGAGATGGGTGATGGAGATGGAGGGCACCACAATGCTTAACAGTGCGACTCGTTTCTGTCGGCTGCTCCATCTCTCTCCGCACTGGTGGCCGGCTGACAGCGTAGAAGAGACACTCTGCGGTGCAGTAGGATTTCATTACTGAGCTATGACCAAGATGTCAACTTTTACTGTCTCTGACTGTTTGGAAATCTGATGTTTTCACATCTCAGATGGTGAACAAAGACAGTAAAACTCAAAGTTTTTAGGTAAAAAGTGAGTCACATACAGGAGGATGGTGTGGGGAGGCTGAGCTGACACAACACATGCAGGAGAGTGAACGATATATATATTTCTCCTATTTGCAGATAAGATATAATGATGAAGAAGAAAAGGCATGAACCAATTAACTGCAAGCATCTGACCAGTTAATACACAGAAGATGACAAAAAAACCGATCCCCAGGAGTTGATGCATTGATTAGAGATGCCGACTCTAATCCTGACTCTGGGACAGCTCTAATGGGAGCAGAGAAAGATCTGGAGCTGTATTAAAGGCAGATGTCCTCATCACACTTGCTGTGTCTGATTATCTGACTTAGGCCAGCAGACATATTCCAGAGGATGGCATCTCTGTTTGCTGTTAGTCAGTCAACAGGAGGAGTCAGAGGGAGCATCTATGTGTCATTCTGCTGTCAGGGCAGCAGCGGTCACGGTGACTGGTTCAGTCAAACATAGACACACAGGGAGCCAGACACTGTCATAATGTCACTGTCCATCCAGCTTCATCTGGAGACAAAATCAGTTCCCACTGAAATATCTGCTCATTTATTGTTGGTGGATCAATACAAAAGTATAAATACTATAACCGCCCACATCTTTTGCATTAATTTTAAAAGATGTGGGATTCATCGACTTTTGTCCTTGTTCAGTTTGTTTGTGTGTTAATTCAGTCCTGTGGCACATTTTGAGGATGTGGAAAAACGTCCTGTTGTTTGATCGTGGGAGCTTTCACACATTTAAGTTGGTTATCCCCCATTGCTAACCCTGTAGTCACGACAGATAAATAGAATTTAATCCAGTTTATTACCCTGGATATTTTTATTGCATTAGATAAATGTGCAGGTGAAACCACATACAAGTAAACAGTGCATAGCTTCTTATTTAATTAGCTGAAGTATCAGGGGTCTGCCACCTCTGATGCTGATATCCTGCTGGGAACAACTACAAGAAATACGTAGGTACAGCTCGAATGGTTCATTTCACATAATCGGAGTTAAACCGTATTCATGTTTAGTGCCATGTTGCCTCTAGTTTGTAGACACTATGGAGTTAATTTCATTGAAATAAGAGATCCTGATATCTCCAACTTAGAGTTAAAACTATTTTTTCCACTTAATTACAGTTTGTGTGGTGTCATGCGAAGTCAGCTACATAGGCTGTAGCTATCGGCAGCAGAAATCCAGCAGAAGTAGTATCAGTATTTAATGCAACACTCACACCCACACACACCAACACGCAGCGCTACATTATAAGAATTACACTTGTTATTACAGTACCATTGTGTTGGATTGTATTACAATATGCACGTGTGTCCATTTTTGTGGCTTGTGTAAATCTAAATTCGAAATAGCTTATGCTGTGTGTTGGTATAAGGTTTGCGGTTTGAGTTTAGAGGTCGGCTCGTTCAAACCCTGGAAGAGAAGAAAGTCTGTCGAGTATTGACCTTCTCTCTCTCAGCAATCATTATAAATATCCCTTTGTGCACAACAGAAGCGGTACTTAGGCCCTCGTTTGCTCCAGTGGAGCTGCTCCACAGGCCAACAGGAGATGATCAAGTGTGAATGTGTGTAAATCAGTGAATTTGAATCAGCACATTACTGACAGGGTGTGGTGCCTTCACCAAATCCTGTTTTGGATAGAAAGGGGTGTAAAATAAAGGTCTGCCACCTTCAGTGTGCTGACAGTGAAGCACAAGCAATTCACTATGAAAGAGCACAGTATCTACAGCTTGAACGATGCATTTCACACAGACAGTGAGTGAAATTGTTGAGCATGTGAGGCGTGGCATGTGCAATGTCCACACTCAGAATGTCTGAATGCTTAAAACAGAGTACTTGTAAGTCATTGAACAGTGTATAACAACCCACCCCCCCTCACACCCTTTCAACATCAGAAAAACAACTGTCTAAAACCGTGAATAACACTGCATCTCATGCAGTGATTGACCGGATGTCCTTAGGTGAGGAAATTCAGCTCAAGTGTAAAACTTGAATCATTGCATTTCTTGGTCAAAGACAAGGACTTTGAATTAAAAATGTGAATACATCTTAATTATTCACTCAGTCTCTGAGTCTTTGTCTCCATGTATTTCTATTTTTATTACTCTATTCTGTTCTCTCCCTCACTGCTCTCTGACTCAGCTCTCCATCTCTCTCCCAGGTGTTTGAGGCTATGATAGCTTGGATCAAGCATGATAAGCCGGCTCGTTTGGAGCACATGCCCAAACTGATGGAGCATGTCAGACTTCCACTACTCTCCAGGGATTACCTGGTACAGGTAAAATACATTTTCTGTTCTGCTCTGCTTTCTCTAAAATCTTCATCCTTTTCCCTGTCCACGTCACACTGAACACTGTGTTATTGTGCATGTTACTTACATAAAAAATGTAACTAAACTTAGATATACGTTAGATTAAGTTGTGAGTAACACCAAACACCAAATCATCCAGGTCATAGGTTATCTAGAAATACTGTACTAAGGGCCTGGAGATGTTTAGTGAATTAACCAAGATGCTGCTTCAGTTTGAAAGAGTCTTCACGTAACAACAAGTCCATATGCCTTTAACTTAATACCTTCAGATAGGGTTGGTGCTCTTCACCAGCGTGCTTCAGTTGATCAACACATTTTTGTCTTTTCAAAAGTGTGTTAAGAAGAAAGCCTAAAAATCAGTTTAGTACACCACAGTGCCTTAAAATGAAGTGCTCTTAATTGTGCGTGATGTGTGTGCTGGGTAGTCGGTAATATCAAACTTGTTCTTCTACATATATATATATATTCTGTCAATTTATCCCCTTGTCCACCGGCACCACAACTTGGTGTTTTTACAGTTATGATGTTTGGTGACATTTGGCTGAATTGTGTCCCTGTTTCAGATTGTGGAGGAAGAGGCTTTGATAAAGAACAACAACACCTGTAAAGATTTTCTTATAGAAGCAATGAAGTATCACCTGTTGCCTGCCGACCAGCGGCACCTCATCAAGACAGACAGAACCCGACCAAGGACACCTATCAGCATCCCTAAGGTAAACAAACACACACAAACATCTCACATGCCGCTCGCTGACAGACAAAACGTGAACTCACAGTATTAATTATAGTTTCTTCTCTTTTGTAAACACACTTAAGTGATTCAACTGTCTAGCCTTGACTCTGTTTGTGTGTGTATGTGTGTGTTTGCGGGCGGGCGCACGTGCATGTACAGGTGATGATTGTAGTTGGCGGTCAGGCTCCTAAGGCAATCCGCAGTGTGGAGTGTTACGACTTCCAGGAAGACCGCTGGTACCAAGTAGCTGACCTTCCTTCAAGACGCTGCCGGGCAGGTCAGTATATGTACAGTATCTTGTGCATGACTGGGGTGGCTGCTTAGGGTGTGACTAGCACCTTTTCCATGCTGAATATGATTTTGCAGTATAGTGACACAATAACAGAAATATCTGACACTACATATAACAACGCAAAATTCCTCCTCCATGGAGTTCAGTCAACATATCAACTGACAAAAATTGAATTTTTGAGCTTCACAAATTTTATTGGTGTAATTAACAGCATATCTTAAAAATTCCTCTCCGTTCAAGTGAAGTAGTCCCTGTTGCACCTGCACTTCCATGCAGTAACCTAACATTTGGACAAAANATTTTGCAGTATAGTGACACAATAACAGAAATATCTGACAATACATATAACAATGCAAAATTCCTCCTCCATGGAGTTCAGTCAACACATCAACTGACAAAAATTGAATTTTTGAGCTTCAGTAACCTAACATTTGGACAAAATTTAAAGCAGATGAAATGTACCCTACAATTGTTTTCCTGAACTATACAAGATTCAAGTCTATGTGAAGTGAGATGAACTGAATAGTCAATTGTCTGAAAAGTAAAAAAAATGTATATCTAAAAATTTTAGGTTGGCTTTTTCTGTTGTAATGAGGTAACACCTCCAAAACCACTAGTGTGGGCATAATCACCCAGAAATAGAAAGGCTCCATGAACACATTTTAATACATTTCCACAAATCATGAATTTGTCTTACAGTTTTTGAATAATTGATTTTATTCTCTCCTACTTTCCCCAGGTGTTGTTTCCATGGCAGGCCGTGTGTTTGCAGTCGGGGGTTTCAACAGTTCACTGCGGGAACGGACGGTGGACGTGTATGACGGAGTGAGAGACCAGTGGAGTGCAGTGGCGAGTATGCAGGAGAGACGCAGTACACTGGGAGCTGCTGTGTTGGGGGATTTACTGTATGCTGTGGGTGGCTTCAATGGAAGTATAGGTACAAACCTACACACACAGTTACATACACATCATAGGGTTGCACAATTGTGGCTGCAGTAGTTATTAGTAGTTAGTTAATGCTTATCTTTTTCCACTTTTTAATTAACAGTTGCTGTGCACATCTGGAGATCAATGCATTTGAAAATTTTCTAATCTTGAAAAGTAAAAAAAAAGTTCGGGAGAATTCTCAGAATTTCTTTTATTACTTGTTTCAGAAAGTATTACAGTGTTTTGTGTTGAAATATGTTTCTTGGGGAATATCTCAAGTAAAATACAAGCTGTAATTATAGATATTGCGCAAGACTTTAAAATAATAAAACTTTGAAACAACCTTATACTTTTAGGTGCTGTGTCATAGTTGCTACTTCTCATGCTTTATCGCACGATCTTGTAAAGCATTTGAGCCAAATAGAACCTTTTTATGACATTGTTTTTGATGGTTAAAAGCCTCTGGGTGTGTATCACTCAGAACACACACAGAAATTGACCACATCTTTTCCAAAACAGGCCAGATTAAAATATTTTCCAGATTCTGAAAGAACTGCAAAATTACAAAAATCTGTGACACATTGTTGGAAAATAATGTGATGTGAAGTGAGGTATTATGGTCTACTCTGGTGTGGTGTAGCTGCAAGAAGGCAGATAACTAAAAATGTACAGATTCAGTCAAGAAATGTCTGGAAGAAGTGAAATTGGAGACGAACAATGTATGAGCACTAAAGATGAGGCAGGTAAAGTAAAATACTTGGTTCGACTGAGCAAGATTCTGATTGAGTTTCCCTGTTCAGTTCTTTAAAACAAATTTCCCCATCTGACTCAGCATCATTATGTGGCTGTGTCCTCTCTCGCTCATTACCACCTGAGGGTGAGAAGATGTAATTGCTTGCAGTAGCAAAACTGTCTACTACAGTGTTAACAGTAAACACAAGAGACAGGGGAGCCATTTTCCTCTCTTCTCTTAACACATCTACCAGCTGAATGCAGAATGTTAACACCCACAGATTGATCAACACACATGTAGTCTCTCACTAATTTTCTAGCCTTTCTGTTCTTCTCTCTTTTGTATCTTTCTATCCCTGTTTCTCTCTCGTTCAGGTCTGTCGACAGTAGAAGCCTACAATTATAAAACAAATGAGTGGCTGTATGTGGCCTCCATGAACACCCGACGTAGCAGTGTGGGTGTAGGGGTGGTCGATGGTAAGACTGAAGTGTGTGTGACCTGGGTTTTCTCAAATGCTCTTTCAACAAAAATACAAAATCCAAATGCTACTGATTTTTAATGACCGTGTGTCTGTGTGTCTGTAGGTAAGTTGTATGCAGTAGGAGGCTACGATGGAGCATCCCGTCAGTGTCTTAGTACAGTGGAAGAGTATGACCCTGTCACTGATCAGTGGTGCTATGTGGCTGACATGAGCACACGGCGCAGTGGAGCAGGTAAACACACACACACACACATACACACATACACACTTTATCTTACTCTACATTCAGTACAAAGTACATTATGCACACTACAACAAAACAAGACTTCTTTCACCCTTAATAGTGGCTCTACAGAAAAGAGACATGTTTACAAACTGGAGATTTTTAGTTTTTAGTTGATACTGTGTTGTAGTAAATGATGCAGTATTTTGGTTTTATCAAAAGTGTTATCTGGAGCAACAGTGCCACCTGGTGAACTTTGTCTGTAATTGTACACACAAGAACCTGAGAAACAACACAACTATCAGTAAACAGTGTTTAATTGCTGTAGTGGATTTTATTAAAGAGTCAGTTTGTTCACAAAATGTGTTTGGCTTTTGATCAGCCAAATCGGACTCTACGAATTTGTAATAGGTCACACAGTCAAAAGAAGAGCAACATTAGATAGCTCTACTTTGTTGTAGTGTTGTAGCATCAAAAGTTTTGATATTTTTAAATCAGAATGGTGTATTACATCAAATGGTATTATGACAACAGTACAACTTCATCTACAACTACTACTTCATCTGTGTTCACACTGGTGCCTCCTCTTGTCTTTCTGTCCAGGTGTGGGAGTGTTGTGTGGTCAGCTGTATGCAGCCGGAGGACATGACGGACCTCTAGTGAGGAAGAGTGTTGAAGTTTACGACCCACACACCAACAGCTGGAGACTGGTCTGTGACATGAACATGTGCAGACGAAATGCAGGTCAGATATCGCCCACAGAATCACACATCCCTTAAATCCTTTATCATCAAGATCATTGGTCATGGCCATCGCTATTGAGCTTTCATGGTAAAATCTGCAAAAGTTTCAGTTTTTGATCCTGTGGTTTCAAGACTTTACCAACAACTATATAATCACAAATACATTTCCAGGCAACAGCTATTATTTTTAGGTTGCAAGTATGTAAGTACCAACTTGATAAAAGACCTTACTGTAGACAGACATTCATGAGGTACAACCCATTAAAAACACAAAGCAGATTATCTCCAGGAGCAAAACACTCTGCTGTAGGTTCTTCTCATAATAACAAAATGAACCGTACCTGTATCCTGATGCACATATAATGACAAATTTAAATTTTGTTGCCCTTACAGACTATATTTTATGTAAGCATTATCAGGAATTTTATAATGTGAATTGCTAGTTTTGGTAGGGTGGGTGAAGGGAAATATATAAGGATCAAACAAAGATGTTAAATTTTAAACTCTCTCTTCCAGGTGTCTGTGCCATTAATGGACTGCTGTATGTGATTGGAGGAGACGACGGGTCCTGTAACCTCTCCTCTGTAGAGTTTTACAACCCAGCCACAGACAAATGGAGCCTCATTCCCACCAACATGAGCAACGGACGCAGCTACGCCGGTATGTCTCAACTGATCATACCACAGGCAATATAATATGACATTTTGCCTGTGTATGTAGCGGTTTCTCTCTGTCTCACTGTCTGTCATGTTCTCACTTCTTCAGGAGTTGCAGTGATTGACAAGCCATTATGACCACAGTCATCCTACAGCATCAGCTCTGCATCGACAGCCAGTTTCACAGAGACTCACAATGACGCCTGAAGCTCAACAGGCAAGCAGAGAAGTAACGCCTGTGATAAAGCTGTCCAAATGGACGGGAGGCTCTCAATCTCAGCTGACACAATCACGGATGGATGTTGACGGTTTGGCGCCAACGCACATCCTGATTTTGTTGCTGTCTCCAAGCTATTTCCATTTAAGCCCTGTGAGATCCTGACTCTTAAGGACATTGTTGCACTGGATAAAAAGCAATAGCCACAGGAGCGCAGGCTTAAAATAACTCTTAGTCTGTCTTAGTGAGAGGTTTTCCAAATCCCAAGCACATAACACGCAGCTGTATCAGCTGACGTAAGACTCACTCAGACGCTGATGTTGGGAAGACTTTTTGTCAGGAAGCAGCTGACATCGATAGGCCAAACCGAGTGAAGTGCTTTAGATGCTCAGTGGTGTAAAGGTGGCGTTCATGTGATGGACTTTATCAAACCCAGGGAACTGAATACTTCAATGCACCAGCTGACGGAAACATCAACTCAATCGATCGACTGCACAAATCTCGTTCACTAAATTTCAGACAGACTCTGCTTACAGTGTTACCAGTGTTGCTGCAATAATCCTGGAAACCCAGGCACGCCATGGGAGCCATTTCTTAAAATTGAGACTTGCCACAATTCCTATAATATTAATCATCTTATGGCAACAATTTGCTCAGCTTGATCCTGTGAAATGAACCAAGTTGATTGATTCCTGTGCCGATCGTCAGCAGCTCCGGCTTTTCAACTAAAAGAAAACCAGCTTTGCAGAGAGCTGCTGTGCTTGTTAGCAAAGCCTACAGTTTCCAGTATTTGTCCTCAACCTAAAGACCTAGAGAGCTGCAAGATAATTTAAAGAATGCTGAAAACATCTTATATGCAAATTAAGTATCATATTTAATATTTTTGAGATTGTTTTCAAAGAGGTTGAGAACCACTTCTGTGGCTTCAGACCCAAACCAGTTGATCTGATTTGATGCAGTGGGACTTGATTGTTTGTTCGACACACTACTGATGCACTGAACACTTGCACTGACTGCTACAAACCGGCTGGCTGACTGGCTGGATGGCTGACTCACCGATTGGCCTGGTCGGATGTCTGCCTTGTCTTTCTGACCGACCAACTGGATCACTGACCTGCTGTCAGATGTCTTCATGGGAGCATTTAAACTCAACACTTAAAGGCCAATAATTTCATCAGAAATTATAAGAAAATGTGCCAGTTCTAATGATCAGAATCAGAATAATGCTGGAGATGTTTTTATCGCTTAGTAACAAACTGAAATGATTAATTATTTCTGTTCATTGTCTAAGGGAGTGTGTCAAAATGCACTGTAGAAATTCAGCTGTAAAACTATAATGCAAAAGATGCAGGTTTAAGATTTTCTATTTATTGTTTTGGTTCAATTGATTACACTGCATTTATTCATATCAAAGTTCTCTCATCCTAATAATGTTACACTGCTCTACTGACATTCATTCAGATAATGGTGGCTATATTTTAGGTGTAGTTATTTAGCTGACTGACTGGTGCCATAGCTTTGATTCTATTAAGAAAAGAGATTTATAGAAGCTGTTTGATGAAAGGTTTTCTCAGCCAACCTTTCACCTCTGTCCACAATCTTCCAAAAAATCACAGAGAAACTGGACACAACCTGCTGTCATTTCTAAGCCCTTTGACCAAGAAGTATATAAAATACTTAAAAGACTGTACTGTTGTTTTTTTTTTTATATTTAATCAATTCACAGGTCATGTGTGCTATGTTACTTCCACCCATGTTACAAATCATACATTTAAGATTGAATGTGTTTTTTCGTGTCTTCCAGAAAGTTGTTACTGTTGGTTTTTGACTTCATATGATTTCATCATAAAACTTGGAGTAACTTGAAACTTGCTGGAGACACTGTCAGTGATCCATCACTGAATATTCCTGTTGTCTGCAGAAATCTCCAGACATGGATTTGGAGCTCATATTGTTGCCTCAACAGACAGAACAACTGGGACAGGATCTGGAGTGCTGAGGTCTGGAGCACACAGTTATATTTAGAGCTTTTTGATAAGGTAACATTTGGACATGCCTCATAATGCAGACACTCTTTATGTGGAAACATCAGCTGCTGCACCTTCCTAAAAAGTTTAATGTGTGCTCCATGTTCCCAGAGCTCCACTCCACATCCTACTTTTATTTTTTGTTGGGTATCATCAAGTAGGAATGCTGGTAAATAGCATAGAGCGTGCGTGCGTGTTCATGTGTGTGCAGGTGGGATGTGCACTTCAGTGTTGCAGCATGCACATCACTAAAGGGTTAATGTGAAAACAAAAAGGACCTGGTTGAAAGCTCCAAAACAGCTACTAAATGGACCTTGAGGTGAGGCTGCTCCTTGAAGTTTTCAGATGAATGATGTTCTTACTCAGTGCAGATATTATATTTTTAATATCATAATTAGTGGATGTTGTGAACTAAACGGTTGATATTGTGAGGTTGTGGTTTGTGAAGGTTGGACTTGTGTATGTTCATAGTTTTAAGCTTGTGAGCTGTTTCCACAAATGATTGGAAACCTTCAGACTTGAAACAAGTTGAATTAACAACACAAATACTAAGCAGGCTTACTTTGCAAAAATGCTCTAAACTGACTTGTGCTCCTTTGTCTGAAATTGTAACATTATGCATTTAGCACTTTAGGATGTTTTGTATAAAATGAGAATCCTGTTCCTGTCACATTTTTTTTTTATTTTCGGTTGAACAGATAAGAATATACATGAACACAGGGATATTCCTTCAACAAGACAATAGGGACTGATGTTTATTTTGACTCAGCTGAACAGAACTTCCTCTGTCAAGTTTAATTTATCCTCTGTTCATTGTGAACAGATACACAGCAAGGTTTTTTGTACAAATGGAAGCAGAAGGATGGGCAGACAGGTACATGGATTATGTTCATTTTCCATCAAGTCTGAAGTCAGCATACAGTGAGCAGCTTTTCAGTGATGGTTTGTATCTGCCTGTATTGTCACCTTTTGGGGTCTCTGACACACTAAAGATGTTGGTTTGATGGAAAATGTCATTGAACAATAGAGGAATTTCATTATACAAAATAATATCTGCCATTAACTAAAAAGACGCCTGATTTGTCAAGTAAATGTAAGCACAAAATAAAAAATAAAAATTGGTGATATATTTTAAGGACAGTGGGAAACTTTATTTCTAACTGTGCATCCTCTACATATCCTACAATATTAGAATATTGATATTGAACTATATATATTCCTTATGCTGCTTTATACTTTATATATATTTTAATGATATTTTTTATATATTTTTCATACTTGGGAGGAAAATATACTTTTTACCCCACTACATTTATATGTCAGCTTTAGTTTCTTGTTACTTTTCAGATTCAGATAATAATACAAAATATAAACAAATGAATTAGTATATTATTATATCAATAAGACTTTACAAGTATTAGCTCCACCTTGAACAGCTGCAACAAAAGTGATGTAGACAATCAATATTATAATGTATTATTATTATTGTTAGTATTGCTGCGTTTTCTGAAGCAAAATGTCTAGACACTTAATGCTGCTCTGATGTGGGCGTGGTCTTTGATGTGTGATTGTAAGGTGTAATTAGTCTAATTGGGGACTCGCCGACCTCCCTGCAGTGCTCAACAGTGCTTAGTGTGTAAGAAAAATAGAAATTGTCGTCATTTAGCTTGATTTCTCATCATTAAAACATGGATTAATTTATTCCATGTGAAGAAGAATATAGATTTTATATTCAGTGGACTTATTACTAAATAAACCAGGGTGGTGGACGACGTGTGCAGGATTGTAGGAGGATTTTGCGGAGCTCAGCGGTGAGTGAGTTTCTCTCACTTCATACTAAATTAATATTTGACACTATTTGTTAAATAACTTGCTTTTTATGGAGGTAGATTTGTTTCAATATTATTTGTGTGAACAGATAGGCAACCCGTGCGTAAATGTTTACTCACATATAAACGCATAAAACACAAACATAAATAATAAATTTGAAGATTCACAAAAATGTCTCCCAAATATAAAACGGATTTATAAATACCCAAACAAATTCCACAAATAATTTTTTTTAATCTGTGAATACACTCAATTAATATACAAATAAATGAAAGGCATTTGCGAATATCTTGCGAACATTTACAACTTTCAAACAGACATTTGTGTATCAATTTTCTATTTGTGATGCGGAAAAGCATTTGTGGATCTTAATTCTACACTTGTGGATTTCAATTTTACATACATGGAGTTTTGAAACAAACCTTCCGCCAGTCTGAATCAAAATCGACAAATTGAATCACTCGGCCACTTTCGGAAAACACGTGATCACCTGCTGACGATGCCATTTCCACTTTTCAAAGTAAGAGCATGTATCTTCTATGTGTGGTTATAAGATATGAAGTGACAGGACCTGGTTAAGGTCTTTGATAGTATGGCTGCTAGTGTTGATATTTGTTTTGTTAAAAAATGATATATTGCAATTTTATTGTTCATTTTTAATATGTAGGCTAAGCTAACTTTAACTACTAAACCGGCACCTGTTCCCATAGCGACAGCCTGACAGCGACAGGCTGAGGAGCAGCAAGAGAACAGGTGTGCTAACTGGGCAGCTCACACAGGTGCCTTGAGTGTCCTTTTTTACGTTGCGGTCTCCTGAAGCAGCAGCATGTCAGACATGAACGCAATCTTCTATTTTTATAGCCTAAACCAAGTCAAAGATTTGGGACAGTTTAGAGTAATCTGGCTAACGCTCTCCTCCTCTAAAGTTATTCAGCAAAAGGTAAGTGCATTAGAGTTCATTTTGCATCAACCCACAAGAGACGCTGGCAGATAACTCAACCTGCCCACGACTGCCTGCAGAGAAGCCAACAAGAAATCAAAAATGCCTAAGACAGAAAGTTTCCTGGCAAACTCCACCAAGGCTGAACTGCGAAAAAACACCGTGAGAATTCCTCACTGTAATAACGGGATATTGCCTCCATCAATGAAATTATTCAATGTTGTCCTCCCTGAGGACTGGTGCCCCCTTTTCAACGAGATCTAATTCTAAATTGTCGTGTTCAGGTGACATAAGGCATAAAAAGTAATAAAAACGACATAGCATAGTAGGGCATAAAAAGTAATAAAACGTCATAATATGGCATAAAAACGTCATAAAATAGTAAGGCATTAAAAGTCAAAAATATAGTAAGGAATAAAAAGTCATAAAAACGTGATAGTATAGTAAGGTGTAAAAAGTCATAAAAACATTGTATAGTGGGGTATAAAAAGTCAGAAAAATCACATACTATACTGAGGCATAAAAACGTCATAGTATAATATGGCATAAAAACATCACAGTATTATAAGGCATAAAAATGTCATAGTAAGGCATAAAAAACATAATTTATAGGACATAGTATATAAAGGCATGAAAAGTTATAAAACGTTATAGATTAGGAACGCATTAAAAGTCATAAATATCATAGTATAGTAAGGTATAAAAAGTCATAAAAACATAGTGTATATATAGTAAGGCATAAAAATGTCGTAGTATAGTAAGGCACAAAAAGTCATAAAAACATAGTACTATAGGGCATAAAAACGTCATAGTATAGTAAGGTATAAAAATGTCATAGTAAAGTGAGGCATAAAAAGTCATAAAAAAATAGTATTGTATAGCATAAAAACATCATTGTATAGTGGGGTATAAAAAGTCACAAAAACAACATAGTATAGTAAGGCATAAAATTCATAAAAATATAGTAAGGCATTAAAAGTCATAAAAAAGAGATAGTATAGTGAGGCAAAAAAAGAAGTAAATATATTATAATAAGGCATAAAAACATCATAGTATTCTAAGGCATAAAAAGTCATAACATAGTACGGCATAAAGTCATGAAAACATGGTATAGTAAGGCAAACAATGTCATAGTATAGTATGGCAAAAATTTCATAGTATAGTAAGGCATAAAAATGGAAAAAAATGTCAGTATAGTGAGGCATAAAAATGGAAAAAAACGTCATAGTAAAGTAATGCATTATAAATGGCAAAAAACGTCATAGTATAGAAAGGGATAAAAATGGCAAACAATGTCATTGTATAGTAAGGCATGAAAATGGCAAAAAACATCATAGTATAGTAAGGCATGAAAATGTTAAAATGTCATAGCATAGTATGGCAAAAAATATCATAGTATAGTAAGGCATAAAAATGGAAAAAACGTCATAGTATACAAAGGGATAAAAATGGCAAACAACATCAGTATAGAAAGGGATAAACGTGGCAAACAATGTCATAGTATAGTAAGGCATAAAAATGGCAAAATAGGTCATAGTATAGTAAAGCATAAAAATGGTAAAAAATGTCATAGTATAATAAGGCATAAAAATGGTAAAAAACGTCATAGTATAGTAAGGCATGAAAATGGCAAAAAACAGCATAATATAGAAAGGCATAAAAATGGCAAAAATCGTCATAGTATAGTATGGCAAAAAACATAGTATAGTAAGGCATATAAATGGCAAAAAACGCCATAGTATGGCATGGCAAAAAATGATAAAGTAAAGTAAGGCATGAAAATGGCAAAAAATATAGTATTGTAAGGCATAAAAATATCAAAAAATGTCATAGTATTATATGGCAAAAAATGTCAGTATAGTATGGCATAAAAATGGCAAAAAACGTCATAGTATAGTATAGCAAAAAATGATATAGTATGGTAAGGCATGAAAATGGCAAAAAATGTCATAGTATAGTAAGGCATTAAAATGGAAAAAAACGTCATAGTATACTATGGCAAAAAATTTCATACTATTGTAAGACATAAAAATGGAAAAAAATATCATAGTATGGCAAAAAATTTCATAATACAGTAAGGCATAAGAATGGCAAAAAATTTCATAATATAATAAGGCATAAAAATGTCAAAAAACGTCATAGTATAGAAAGGGATAAAAATGGCAAACAACGTCATAGTATAGAAAGGGATAAACATGGCAAACAATGTCATAGTATAGTAAGGTATAAAAATGGCAAAAAACGTCATAGTATATTATGGCAAAAAATTTCATAATATAGTAAGGCATAAAAATGGAAAAAAAACATCATAGTATAGTAAGGCATAAAAATGGCAAAAAACGTCATAGTATAGTAAGGCATAAAAATGGCAAAAATCGTCATAGTATAGTATGGCAAAAAACATAGTATAGTAAGGCATATAAATGGCAAAAAACGTCATAGTATAGTATGGCAAAAAATGATAAAGTAAAGTAAGGCATGAAAATGTCAAAAAATATAGTATTGTAAGGCATAAAAATATCAAAATGTCATAGTATTATATGGCAAAAAATGTCAGTATAGTAAGGCATAAAAATGGCAAAAAACGTCATAGTATAGTATGGCAAAAAATGGAAAAAAACGTCATAGTATAGTATGGCAAAAAATGATATAGTATAGTAAGGCATGAAAATGGCAAAAAATATCATAGTATTGTAAGGCATAAAAATGGAAAAAAATGTCATAGTATAGTAAAGCACAAAAATGGCAAAAACGTCATAGTAAGGCACGAAAATGGCAAAAAACGTCATAGTATACTATGGCAAAAAATTTCATACTATTGTAAGACATAAAAATGGAAAAAAATATCATAGTATGGCAAAAAATTTCATAATACAGTAAGGCATAAGAATGGCAAAAAATTTCATAATGTAATAAGGCATAAAAATGGCAAAAAACGTCATAGTATAGAAAGGGATAAAAATGGCAAACAACGTCATAGTATAGAAAGGGATAAACATGGCAAACAATGTCATAGTATAGTAAGGTATAAAAATGGCAAAAAACGTCATAGTATATTATGGCAAAAAATTTCATAATATAATAAGGCATAAAAATGGCAAAAAATGTCATAGTATAGAAAGGGATAAAAATGGCAAACAACGTCATAGTATAGAAAGGGATAAACATGGCAAAAAATGTCATAGTATAGTAAGGTATAAAAATGGCAAAAAACGTCATAGTATATTATGGCAAAAAATTTCATAGTATAGTAAGGCATAAAAATGGAAAAAAAACATCATAGTATAGTATGGCATAAAAATGGAAAAAAACGTCATAGTATAGTATGGCATAAAAATGGGAAAAA